GAGATAGATAGATATAGATAGATAGATGATAGAGATAGATAGATAGATAAATGATAGATAGATAGATAGATAGATAGATAGATAGATAGATAGATAGATAGATGATAGATATAGATAGATAGATAGATAGATAGATAGATAGATAGATAGATAGATAGATAGATGATAGATAGATAGATAGATGATAGATAGATAGATAGATGATAGATAGATGATAGATAGATGATAGATAGATAGATAGATAGATAGATAGATAGATAGATAGATAGATAGATAGATATAGATGATAGATAGATGATAGGTAGGCAGACAGACAGACAGACAGACAGACAGGTAGATGATAGATAGATAGATGATAGATAGATAGATAGATAGATAGATAGATAGATAGATAGATGATAGATAGATAGATGATAGATAGATAGATAGATAGATAGATAGATAGATAGATAGATAGATAGATGATAGATAGATATAGATAGATAGATAGATAGATAGATAGATAGATGATAGATAGATAGATAGATAGATAGATGATAGATAGATAGATGATAGATAGATAGATAGATAGATAGATAGATAGATAGATAGATAGATAGATAGATAGATAGATAGATGATAGATATAGATAGATGATAGAGGATTTTAAAAACTCAGTGGTATTTTTGACTATCACTTGGGTGATAGTCAATACACATAGCCTTTGGAGTAAGCCCCATTTAATTCAGTGGGGTCTGGACTTACTTTTGAGTAGGATTTTGCTTTTAATAACACAGTCACTGTTTTTACATGGGTGACTCAACCAACTGCATACCCTCCAACATTTCTCTGATGAAAATAGGGATGTCCTATTCTATAACAGACTCATAGACTCATAGAATTGTAGAGTAGAAGGGACCCTGCTGTCTGCTTTACCATTAGCTGAGAAGTTCTCTATCTTTATAAATTTCCTGTTTTAGAAGTATCAGTTGCCTATTTTAGAAATGGATGAATGGGCTAACCAACATCCAACAAAGTAACTCACTTACAAACCCTGTTACTCTTTCCGTCCGCACCTGGAGACAAAGAGAAAGGAATCCCTCTTACCCTGGGCCTGCCTACCTCCATCTTTCTCCCACAGCTTCCAGACAAGACCAAGAGTTCGGGTTTTTAATCTGTTTTATTTAGTTATTAATGGTGAAATCCTATACACCTTTACCCAGCTCCATTCAGTTCCACGGAACTTACTCCCTACTAACAACGTTCACGATTTCAGCCATAGGTTGTTTAAAAATGGTACCCCACTTTTCTTAAGAAAACAAACTCTAAGCAGAACAGTGGTACCTCAGGTTAAGTGCTTAATTCGTTCCGGAGGTCCGTTCTTAACCTGAAACTGTTCTTAACCTGAAGCACCATTTTAGCTAATGGGGCCTCCCGCTGCTGCCGCACCGCCACCGCGCGATTTCTGTTCTCACCCTGAAGCAAAGTTCTTAACCTGAAGCACTATTTCTGGGTTAGCGGAGTCTGTAACCTGAAGCGTATGCAACCTGAAGCGTATGTAACCCGAGGTACCACTGTATAGGGGCTGCTGCTTGTGCCGCTCACCAACCCCACCTACAGTGGTACCTCACAAGACGAATGCCTCGCAAGACAAAAAACTCGCAAGACGAAAGGGTTTTTGGTTTTTTTAGTTGCTTCGCAAGACGATTTTCCCTATGGGCTTGCTTTGCAAGATGGAAACGTCTTGCAAGTTTGTTTCCTTTTTCTTAACACCGTTAATACAGTTGCGACTTGACTTCGAGGAGCAACTCATAGAACACGGTGTGGTAGCCTTTTTTGAGGTTTTTAAAGACTTTGGTGATTTTTGAAGCTTTTCCAAAGCTTTCCCGACACCGTGCTTCGCAAGACGAAAAAATCGCAAGACGACAAAACTCGCAGAACGAATTAATTTCGTCTTGCGAGGCACCACTGTACTCCTCATCTCAAGGGCTTTTGACTGGGTGGAATCTATCCCTTAAGCCAGGGATAGAGAACCTGTAACCTTCCAGATGCCTTTGAACTACAACTCCTATCATCCCTGACCATTGACCAAGTTGCCTGGTGTTGCTGGGAGTTGGAGTCCAGAAACATCTAGAGCAGTGTTTCCCAAACTTGAGTCTCCAGCTGTTTTGGGACCACAGTTCCCATCATCCCTGACTACTGCTCCTGCTAGCTAGGGATGATGGGAGTTGTAGTCCCAAAACAACTGGAGACCCAAGTTTTCGAAACACTTATCTAGAGGGCCAGAGATGACTCACCTCTGCCTTAAAATGTGGTAATGCCTAGATGAAGGGAAGATGAGTAAACTGTTGGCTTAAATGGTGCGCCATGGAACCAGAACAACATGTGGAAGCCATCTCAGTGTTTTCCTGGACCTTTCCCACTAAGTGTGAGGTATTTCCAATTTGGACAGTCCAAAGATTTTTTTAAAACCCACATTTAAAGGGAGAAAGATCTAGGACAATACTGGGATGGGGGAGAGTCATGTGGACATGAACAGAGAGGCCACACAAAACCACCCTTTGCTCTGTTGTGGATAAGCTCCCCAAATTCATCTCTTTTCTCAGCTGCAAACCCACTGGAGTAGCCAAGTCACAAGCTAGTCCTGCCTCAAGATCTGCAAAATGGGGGTGGCTTTGATTCACAGAGGGATAGTGATGAACTGGGGAAGGGCTTTGCATTGCTTTGCATATGAGACAGAGCTTGATAAATCCTTCAAGCCACTAGTCCTTTCTCATAATATGTCAATAGATACCCAGATCTGTTATACAAATCTTTTGGCAAATGCGTGCAGACTTTCACCTCCTAAATCTGGGTACATTTCTCATTAAAGTCTTATTGACTTAAACCCCCTTTCATTGCCCAAGCACTTAACAATGTCACGCTTGCAAATTACCAAATATATAAAATGCGCAGGGCTTATTTTGGAGACTGAAGCTAATAACGACAGGGAAAGGATGTCACAGGCTCCAAATCCCCAACGGAGAAAATTTGAGTGTGAATAACATGAGCATGTTGAGTTAATCTCCAGGATGTGGGATTACCATGGGATAAAGGGCATTTCCCCACCAACAGCTGTTCACGTCTGTGCAACGTTATTTGTATATGTAAATTGTTGCTCAAGCCATAATAATTTCAACAGCACACAGAACCGCGTCAACCATGGCCAATGTGTCAATTGTAAGAGCATCTGGCTGAGCGTGTCTGTTCTTCGAAGCAATTGCTGTGAATAGCCACAGCTCAGGATGAGAGACCTATATCTTCACAGTGGGGCAGAATGAAATACACAAGGGACTCCCCCCGCCCCACTTGTGTTAGTTAGTTTGTTCGTTCCAGAATCCTAAGGATATCTGCTCAGAAAAAAGTCCTGCTGGGCATTACTCCCAGGTAAGTGGAGTTAGGTTGCAATCCTAAACCCACATATCCTGGAAGCTTACCCACATAATTCAATAAGACTCACCTCTGAGTAGGCATGTTTGTCATACCTGAAGGAGCGTCTCCACTCCCATCGTCCATCCCAGACACTGAGGTCCACCTCCGAGGGCCTTCTGACGGTTCCCTCACTGTGAGAAGCAAGGTTACAGGGAACCAGGCAGAGGGCCTTCTTGGTGGTGGTGCCCGCCCTGTGGAACGCCCTCCCATCAGATGTCAAGGAAATGAGCAACCATCTGACTTTTAGAAGACATCTGAAAGCAGCCTTGTTTATGGAAAATTTTAATGTTTGACTTTTTATCGTGTTTTTAATATTCTGTTGGGAGCCGCCCAGAGTAGCTGGGGACACCCAGCCAGATGGGCAGGGTATACCGTATTTTTTGCTCTATAAGATGCACCTTTTCCCTCCTAAAAAGTTATGAGAAATGTGTGTGCGTCTCATGGAGCGAATGCAGGCTGCGCAGCTATCGCTGAAGCCAGAACAGCAAGAGGGATCGTTGCGCAGTGATCCCTCTTGCTGTTCTGGCTTCTGGGATTCAGAATATTTTTATTATTGTTTTCTTCCTCCCAAAACTAGGTGCGTCTTATGTTCTGGTGCATCTTATAGAGCGAAAAATATGGTTAATAATAATAATAATAATAATAGTAGTAGTAGTAGTAGTAGTTGTTGTTGTTAGTTGATTTGTTTGTTGCCTATCCTTTGCCCTAAGGTCTCAGGTCTGTCCCAACTAAAAATCAGGAAGAACTTTCTGACAGTAAGAGCTGTTTGACAGTGGTACGGTCTCCCTCGGGAGGTTGTGGACTCTCCTTCCCCGGATTGGGACAGTTTGGTGTGGCCCAAACGCTACATCCTGACCCGGGTTCAAGATGGGTGGTACTTGGGCAGCAGACCTCCCCGTGGTGCTCCAGATTCCACACACTCAGGTGGCCATGCTCCAGACGGAAGTTCGAGTCCTGCGGACGTCTGCTACAGCAGCTGCTGCTGGCCAGTTCTGGCTGAAAAAAACCCCCTAAATATACTATTTAGCTCAGAGAGGCTTCCAGCTTGACTTGCACACCTCTCTTTGCCCCATGATGTGGATATCAGGGATGGGCTTGCCCTATCTTGCAAACTCGAAAGATGCAGATAAGAGACAGGGCTCCTTTCCCTTGCTGCAAACTCATTTCAGCCGCAGACTCGTGCAAGCCAACCCACTTTTGACACTGAATTGACATCTGGATGGGAAAGGAGTTCCTGTTGAAGATCTAACCAGAGCCTCCCGTCGTCAGATTCCTGGGCTTAGGTGTGTTCCCGGTCCACACCTGTCAAGCTGCTATTTTCAGTAGCTGGCTAATCCATTGTTCCCTGCCCCTGGGTGTCAAGCAAGTTGCTCATGCATTAGCCTTTGGACTGTCAATTTGGTACAAATGACATATTTTTGGTTTTATTTTTAGAGACGTGACAGTGAGGATGTGTCACAACTTGCTGTGGTTGTGATCGCATCTGAAGTGAATGTGCAATTAATCCTGTCTATCATCACCTCCTCCATGCTCCCCTTTCTCCAGCGATCATGCATATGCACATGTACCATACCAACAAGCAGAATAAGGTAAAGGGACGCGGGTGGCGCTGTGGGTAAAAGCCTCAGCGCCTAGGGCTTGCCGAACGAAAGGTCGGCGGTTCGAATCCCCGCGGCGGGGTGCGCTCCCGTTGCTCGGTCCCAGCACCTGCCAACCTAGCTGTTCGAAAGCACCCCCGGGTGCAAGTAGATAAATAGGGACCGCTTACTAGCGGGAAGGTAAACGGCGTTTCCGTGTGCTGCGCTGGTTCGCCAGATGCAGCTTTGTCACGCTGGCCACGTGACCCGGAAGTGTCTGCGGACAGCGCTGGCCCCCGGCCTCTTGAGTGAGATGGGCGCACAACCCTAGAGTCTGTCAAGACTGGCCCGTACGGGCAGGGGTACCTTTACCTTTACCTTAAAGGACCCCTGACAATTAAGTCCAGTTGTGAACGACTCTGGGGTTGCGGCGCTCATCTCACTTTACTGGCCAAGGGAGCCAGTGTACAGCTTCCGGGTCATGTGGCCAGCATGACTAAGCCGCTTCTGGTGAAACCAGAGCAGTGCATGGAAACACCGTTTACCTTCCTGCCGGAGCAGTACCTATTTATCTACTTGCACTTTGACGTGCTTTCGAAGGTTGGCTAGGTTGGCAGGAGCAGGGACCGAGCAACGGGAGCTCATCCCGGGGATTTGAACCGCCGACCTTCTGATCGGCAAGTCCTAGGCTCTGTGGTTTAACCCACAGCGCCACCCGTGTCCCTCTATCACATCCTTATAAGCAGCTTAATCCTGAGGCTACGCCACCACTTGCGAACAATTGTAGCTCTACAGAAGAGCAGTAGGACTCCTGGGCACCCCACTGTCAAGTCCATAGGGATGCAGAGAAAAACATCCTAATGAGTTTTGCCTTCTGTTGTGTATGTTTAAAAGATCTTCTCTTTTTCATTCTCATGCCAATGCCTATCAAGTCTTAACCTTGGCTGGGCTAAGGGCAATAAGATGAAAGTATTTGCACAATGTGGGCATTATCCAGCCTACAAGGTGCAAACATTTCTCTGCTGAAAATAGGGGTGTCCTATTCTATTATTGGGATGCGGGTGGCGCTGTGGGTGAAAGCCTCAGCGCCTAGGGCTTGCCGATCAAAAAGTCGGCGGTTCGAATCCCCACGGCGGGGTGCGCTCCCGCTGCTCGGTCCCAGCGCCTGCCAATCTAGCAGTTCGAAAGCACCCCCGGGTGCAAGTAGATAAATAGGGACCGCTTACTGGCGGGAAGGTAAACAGCGTTTCCGTGTGCGGCTCTGGCTCGCCAGATGCAGCTTTGTCACGCTGGCCACGTGACCCGGAAGTGTCTCCGGACAGCGCTGGCCCCCGGCCTCTTGAGTGAGATGGGCGCACAACCCCAGAGTCTGTCAAGACTGGCCCATACGGGCAGGGGTACCTTTACCTTTACCTTTTTATTCTATTATTATTATTATTATTATTATTATTATTATTATTATTCCCTGCCCATCTGACTGGGTTGCCCCAGCCACTCTGGGTAGCTTCCAACATATATAAAAACATAATAAAACATTGAACAATTTCCCTATACAGCAGGCATAGGCAAACTCCAGATGTTTTGAGACTACAATTCCCATCATCCCTGACTACTGGTGCTGTTACTTAGGGATGATGGGGGTTGTAGTCCCAAAACATCTGGAGGGCTGAGTTTGCCTATGCCTGCTATACAGAGCTGCCTTCAGATGTCTTCTAAAGGTTGTATAGTTACTTTTCTCCTTGGCTTGGGGGTCGTACAACTCCATGCCCTTCAACATTTATCTGATGGAAATAGGGACGTCCTAAGAAAAAGTGGGACATTCTGGGATCAAATCAGAACCGGGACAGCATCATTAAATCCAGGACTGTCCCTGGAAAATAGGGACACTTGGAGGGTCTGTCCCATTCATTTCCACGGAGGAGTAAATTACATGTTTTGATCTCTCCCACTGGAATAAATGGCAGTTTAAAGTACATTGGCCGCAGAGTAGGTTCTCCAGATTCCACTGAACTCTGACCTGGGCTTGGAGCTTCCAATCTCTCAAAACAAACTTTTATTGTAAGCACAACCCAATAATGTGGATTGAGCAAGACGCATTTCCTCGTCACTGTTTTCCTCCAGCCACTTAAGTCTCCCCCACTATTGGCCACTTAAGTCTGCCCCACTGACACTGACACCACAGCCCTATACTAAAATAGATGTTAGCTAACTCAGATCTAAAGACTCCGGGCAGTTAAATATGTTTGAAAGAAATCACCCTGTACAACTTTGAAATATGAATTAAACAAAGGAGTTTGAAGAATTGTTGTACCACTGAGCATCACCTTTGTTGTTGTTGTTTAGTCATTTAGTCGTGTCCAACTCTTCGTGACCCCATGGACCAGAGCACGCCAGGCACTCCTGTCTTCCACTACCTCCCGCAGTTTGGTCAAACGCATGCTGGTAGCTTTGAGAACACTATCCAACCATCTCGTCCTCTGTCGTCACCTTCTCCTTGTGCCCTCCATCTTTCCCAACACCAGGGTCTTTTCCATGGGACTCTCAAGAGTCTCCTCCAGCACCATAATTCAAAAGCATCAATTCTTGTAAATTCTAAAAGAAATTTTCTTTTCTAAAAGAAAAGAAAAACTCTTTCCAAAACTTACCGAGGTAACAGTAGCAATGGTGAGGTGGTCCCAGGATTTTGGCCATTCAATAACCATGGCCCAATGGGAAAATTTATGGAAGATCAATTGGAAATTCACAAACTGTTACATGATTAGAGAGAACTTTCAAAAAATGCAACATCGATGGTATCTAACACCATGTAAACTTTCAAAAATGTATAAAAATGTGTCAAGTAATTGTTGGAGATGCGGAGACTCAGGAACATTCTACCATATGTGGTGGATATGTAGGAAAATACAGGTATTCTGGGAGAGTATACATGCAGAACTGCAAAAAATGCTAAAGATCTCTTTCAATAAAAAACCAGAGGCCTACCTCCTGGGAATAGCAGATTTGGATATTCCACAAAAGAGGAAGGGTATCTTTTTATATGCGACGGCGGCAGCAAGAGTTTTGATCGCAGCAAAATGGAAGAGTAATGAAATCCCCTCTATACAAGATTGGATCCAAAAGCTGACAGAATATGCCGAATTAGTTGCTTTATCAGAAAAGATAAAGAATAAATCAAAACAGGAATTTGTTTCTAAATGGGAGGTTTTTAAAGAATATCTGAAAAATAAATATAGTAGTTTAAATTCTGTTGCAGCATTCAAGGAACTTCAGTAATAGTTGCTAGGTAGATAGAAGAAATTAGATTTATTGAGAATAAGTTTAATTATGAAAATGTGTATTGGCAATAAGTAATATGAATTTGAAATATGGAATAGACGGGAAGTTAGGTCTTTAGTGTTAAGACCAATAGATGTTTTATTGTTTGCCAAGAAAATTATGTGTCTATGGTTATTTTTGTAATTTGTGTGTAATTTTGTGTGTGTGTTTTTGTTATTGTATAAATAAAGATTTAAAACAAAAACAAAAATCTTATGAAACTGAAAGTTTTGACAAGTAAACGGTATCCCTTGCTTTAAAAAAAAAAAAAAGAATTGCATTTGGGTAGAAACTGTTTCTCAGGCGGCTAGTCCTAGTCTTTATAACCCTGTACCTTCTTCCAGAAGGCAAAAGCTGAAAAAGATCATTTCCGGGGTGCGCACTATCCTGCGCTATCTCTGCAGCTTTCTTATGGCACCTGGCAGCATAGATTTGATCCAAGGTGGGAAGAGTGCACCCAATTCTTCTCTCTGCAGTCTTTACAACCCTGGACAGCATTGGGTTTTTCCCCCTGGCCATGCAGCGCCCAAACCACACACAGAGACCTTAAGTTAATACACTCTCCACAGTACAAGGGTAAAATGCCATCAACAGGTCCTTTGAGAGATTGTTTTTCCGGAGGATTCTCAGAAAATATAACCTCTGCTGTGCTCTCTTCATCAGGTCTTTGCTGTTTTCTCCCCAGGTTAGAATGCAGTAATATATGCAGGCTCTGGGCATGCATTCACACAACCTTTGTGCACGCCATAAACAAAAGGGGGGAGCAGTGGCGTAGCGTGGGTTGTCAGCACCCGGGGCAAGGCAAGTAATTTGCGCCCCCTAACCCATGGATTTGCGCCCCCTAACCCGTGGATTTGCGCCCCCTAACCTGTGGATTTGCCCTAACCCCAGATGTTGCGCCCGGTGCGGCCGGTCCCCCCTGCACCCCCCACGCTACGCCACTGGGGGGGGGGAGGAAGTGTCATATTCCACTCCGGTTCCTGATGTCGTCTGTGCTTTAAAAACATGGTGCATGAATCAGTCAATCGCACGATATAGATCGACTTTGCTGCTGCTCAGAGGGCGGGGCACGCGATTCCGAGGAGAGCCCTAGATCTCCGCAGCTATAACCACTAGGAGGCAGCCTCTCCCCTTTCTTGCGACCGAAGCGCGGGTGGGGAGGGTGTGTGGAGAGAGAATCACCCTGCTCTTGAATGCTCAGATGGCAGCATTCAAAGGGGGGCGGGCGAGAGGCGAGAGCGAGCGGGGGAATACTGGAAACACGAAGGTGGTGTCAAGATTCCGCCCGAGGGAGCGCGGCATTCCGACGCGACGGTCCTGCCGGATTCCTGGCGAGGACCCAGCCGTGCGTCTCGCAGAGCGCAGGGCGTGAGCGCAAAGAGGCGCTCCCTTCTTTTGGATGGCGGGCGAGCGGGCGGGCGGCTCCCCTTTGCAAATGTGCCCGGCGGAATTGCACCATCGGAGCGGGCTCCCTGCAGGGGGTGGGGACCCGAGGGCGCTTCCTTAAACAGGCACCAGAAGGAGCGGGCGGAGGCAGGCCAGGCACGCCGCGATCCTCCTTCCTCCTGGGCGGCTGCCGTCGCTGCTGCTGCTGCTGCTGGATTTGCTGCTGTCGCTGCTGCCGTCGCCCAGCCCTGCCCAGCCCAGCCCAGCTGCAGCTCGGGCTTCTCTGCATGTGTCATCGAACACGTGGGGCTCTTTTTGCGCCGCGGAAACTTTCGAGGGATACTTGCTTCCAACTTGGACTCGCGCACGGCGACATCGGAATGGGGAGGCGCGGGAGGGAGAGAGAGAGAGCTCTTAGATCTACTGCACCGATCCAGACGCCTCTTTCCTGGACGTGATCGCCTCGCTGCCTTCCCTTTCTGCCGGCGCTTGGAATTGCGCTCCCGCGTCTTGAAACCACGTCTGGACGCGCCAACCCGCTTCTTCCTCCCTTGCCCTCTTCTTCACGTGTGGGAAATGTGGCATGCGTGTCTTTGGAAGGAATGGGCTCTGGGTGTTGGGGTTTTGCTGCTGTTGTGTGTTTTTTTAGCCCAAGTGGCGAACCTCGCCCTCCCTGCACCTCCCTCCCTTAGTTCCTTCCTGGGTCCGCTTCATAGTTTCGAGAAGATCTGGAAGGCCATGCTATTGACGGCCAGGAGATCCACTTGGTTTGCTTCCACCACCCCCGGACCTAAGGTAAGCGGCGAGGGCTGGGGTGGAGGGACAAGAGAGCAACTCCGCCAGCGTGTTTTGCGTGCGCGTGTCACCTTTTCAGCTGCGTGCGCTTCGAGACTAGGCGGTCGCTGTCACCGCCCCGTCGGTCCGTTTCTTCGCAGCAGACGGCGATCAGGGAGACCGGGTCCCTTGCGAAGGGTTGGGCGATCAAGCGTGCGCACGTTCCGACGACCGGGGCGTGAGGAGCCGCGATCGAGGACCGGTGTCTCGTCGGAATGCTCAGGGCGTGCTCGGCGAACCCGCCGCGGACGCGGGTCCTCCTTTCAGAATTAAAAGGACACCAACACACGCCCCTCTCGGACTCTGTCGCAAGAGTGCTCTGCTTTGGAGAGCTGCCCGTGCCAATTCAATTTCGCCCCGAACGCGTTTCCTAAACAGGGAGCTAGCTAGTTAAAAATTAACACGCGTTTGAAACAAACCGAAACGAAAACAGGGTTGACCCCCATAACATCAGGGAGTGGCGCGCGGCTGGAGTTTGACTCAAGTTCTCCAGAAATATCTGGAGTTGGGTCTATTTGTTTTTCTGGCTTGACTATCTTTCAATCATTAAAAAAAAAAAAAGAACAAAAATGTCCCAAGCCCTCCTGAAGGTGCGTCACGTGTGAACGATCGAGCGGCGGGTGAAATGGGGAGTTTGGGGCTGGGTCTTTGCGGGCGAGATGAGAAGTTTCTGCCTTCAACTGGCCTACAAAGTCCCATTCCTCGGCTCCCAAGTCTGCGCCCTTTTGTGCTGCCAACCTGAGGTCCTCTTCCCTCAGCGGCTGAAAGTTTTAAACGTGGGGAGGTTCCCAATATTACAGGCCGGGGTGAGAGGTGTGCGGGGGGGGGCATCTAATGCCTCTTTGCAAACGGCAGATCCCCAAACAAGATCTCCCCTTGCTTCCCCTCCAAAGCTGGCAATGGCTTGGCGGGTGTTTCTTCTCCAACCACCCTAACACGGTTTGGGGCAGGGCATATTGACCAAGGAAACGATCCAGCCACCGTGGAGCACTTTTGAGAGCACTTTGGTTTGAGTGAGAAAGTTAAGCAGTCTGATGGTCAGTGGGTTTCCACTGCGCTTCGTTTTTGACTCTAGTTTTAGCAAATGGCCGTAGCTGTAGTGACCGGTTCCAAACCAACATTGAAATCAAAGAACGTATAAGAACAGATGCCAACATTTCAGAGGTTACACTTAAAACGTTTTAAAAAAATATATTAAATTAAACTTGGTCAGAGACCAGACTTGTTTTTTGCCCTGTAATTTGCTATTTAAAATATTAAGTACAGTACCAACAGAGTGTCGCTGTCAATTGAAAGTTTCGACGTTGTTTTCCGCTGAAACTGATTTCGTAGGCCCACGAGAAAAGATATTTATGTCTCCTCAATCTGCAAGTCATGCTAATCAAATCTGGTTTAAGGCCTTCATCTCTTTACCTATGCTTTTTTACTCTCTCTTTTAAAGAAACTCTTCTCCATATATATATATATATATATATATGAAAATAGAGATTAATTACTGCACATGTTGCCTCCATATAGTTCTTTTGGCTAAAAGCACAAATCAGCTGATGATCTGCACTTTTACGCCCAGAAAAATTAGGCCATCGTAACTTTATATACTGCCTGCGACAATGAATATCTTTTTGCTTACATACATATAACGTAAGTATTTTTAAAGCGAAAAACCTAAAAAAGTTAAATTGCTTATTTTAAAGATTGTCTTCTTTTTTTTAAGGTTGTCTTTTATCATTTCTATTAAGAACATAAAGACAACTTTTTAAAAATCTGCGGCCTGTATTCATAATGATGGTGGCTGTTTCATTTAGGTATGTTTGTCTATCTGGTGCAATTTGGAAAATCTTTTCACTGAAATGAAGTTACAGGCAACACTTCATTGCTAGGGAGGAAAGGAAAAAGCTGAGTCCATGTGTGTTACGCAGAAGTAAGCCTCTCTGAGTTCAGTTGGGAATAAGTAATTGTGCGTACGACAGTAGCATTTAAAAGCCTGTCTCCGAATTTAAACCCTGAAGCAAAAGCTCTAAATCAGCACAATTAATTATTCTTACCATAACTAATGTGGTCATTATGCTATACTTCTCCAAAGTCCCATGACATGTAACTTACGTTATAGCTTGCTCTTTTCTACATAAACAGGTAGATAGATTGATAAATAAATAAATTTCCTCAGCCTGGGAGTATTCCCTCACCCCACCCGCCTCTTCAGTTAAATATTTCAATTTCCTGCAGATTTATTCTAAAACAATCTTGATGATTTTTCATTTTCTCCTTTATCTTTATGAGCAACGGGGAAAAATCCTGGCCCAATTCGCCCAGATCTGAACTCGCATGTTCAGATTACGCAACCGATGAAATTTGTAGCCAGCCTTTGCTAATTAGATTTAATCTGGTGCGTTATGAATTCATCCACACCCCAATTCATGAATAAAACAAAATTAATGTTTCCCCAGCTTTTTCAAAACTAGCCCTCCTGTTGGCCTTTGCTTACCGTGTGTGCGCAGCTGTTAATCTATTGTAGTCCCACATATCTTTGGGTAAATATATATTTTTTCAAGTCCTACGCAGTTCAAGAGAGCCATTTATTGTTGTTATTATTATTATTTGCTAGGAAACGGTTTATAAATGTAAATAATAAATAATATGAACAAGTTAGTTTGCAAAGGCTTTAAAAAAACCCATTGGGAGCTTGGGATATGATATTAAGAGTGTCCCATCTTCTGCCCCCCCCCCACCATAAGGCAGAGTTTGAGCCAAAGAGCCATAAAGCTACAGAACATCCTCTTTAATTAAGAGACCACCAATGTGACCTTAAGTGGACACGTTTGGAAGACTAGGCCATTGAAATCACAGCAATTTATTTCCAAGTGACACTTCGCCTTTAGGATCAAGGTGCCAGTTTTTGATCCACAGGCTGGAATTTAACGTTCTTGTAACGAAATCATGCCAAACGATTCAAAAGCTCTAGGTTCAGGTAGGCAGCCATTGTTGGTCTGACACAGTCGAAATATATAAAAAAATTGTTCAGTAGCACCTTAGAGACCAACTAAGTTTGTTCTTGGTACAGTGGTACCTCAGGTTACATACGCTTCAGGTTACGTACGCTTCAGGTTACACACTCCACTAACCCAGAAACAGTGCTTCAGGTTAAGAACTTTGCTTCAGGATGAGAACAGAAATCGGACTCCGGCGGCGCAGCAGCAGCTAAAGTGGTGCTTCAGGTTAAGAACAGTTTCAGGTTAAGAACGGACCTCCGGAACGAATTAAGTACTTAACCTGAGGTACCACTGTATAAGCTTTCTTGTGCAGACACACTTCTTCAGATAACAGATTCAAAAGCTGACTTGGATACAATTTCTACGCTGTTTGTTTGGGCTTCCACTTTTTTGCAACTTTTTTGGGCTCCACTTTTTTGCAACTGTTTGTTTCAAGTAACTTCTTCTAAGATACAAACCTTTTACAGTATAACTTGCCATTACAGTGGCACCTCTGGTTACATAAGCTTCAGGTTACAGACTCCGCTAACCCAGAAATAGTACCTCGGGTTAAGAACTTTGCTTCAGGATGAGAACAGAAATTGTGCTCTGGCAGAACGGCAGCAGCAGGAGGTCCCACTAGCTAAAGTGGTGCTTCAGGTTAAGAACAGTTTCAGGTTAAGAATGGACCTCTGGAACGAATTAAGTACTTAACCCAAGGTACCACTGTATATCATTACCTTTTTCAGATAAAGAATGCCAAATTGCTTGTAAAAAATTGCCGTACACCAGGGAGCTGGATGTGGCAGATACATGCTTGGAAGAAAAACCCCACTTTAGTCAATGGGACTTGATTCTGAGTAAACTGCCACAGAACGGCAGGTGTGAAGCCCAATTCTATGCATTTTTATTCGGAAACTCCCACCGAGTTCTGCAGGGCAAGATGCTGTCAGCTGCATTTAGGCTGCAATTCTAACCCTCTTGCCTTGAAGTAAACGCGCTAAAAATTCAACAGGACTCGAGTAGACATGGTTAAGATTGTGCTATTCCTTTGGAATGAGCCCCACTGAATTTATTCAGAAGTTAATAGGCTGGAATGACATTGAAAACATTGCTAGCTAATATATGTTTTCGTCCAGACCCAGCGATATAGGTTTGTTCTTGTTCAGTTGCCTGTCTTGGACATCACTGGACTGAAAGGCAGCGGGGAAATTTACTTAAATAAATAAATAAAAATATATAAGTTGGATTTTTAAAAAAATCCAACTTATATACCAAAGCTAAAGCCACTCTGTTCCAGAGTGGTCTGGAAATCTGTATCTTATGATGTCCCAGACTTAAATTATTTCACGCAAGTCATCTTACAGACTGCAACCCAAACTTATTTTCAAAGCCGTTATCGGCATACTTTAGCGACATGATAAATCTGGTTGAAATAACGTGTGTTCGCTCAGAGGGTCAATGCGCAGAGTTGCATACCACAAACTTATTGCAAAAGGGTCGCCTAATATGGCCTACGCAAGGATACATTCCAATGTGTATGAAATGTCGACTATTTCCATTCACAGGCCCCCAGCCTCTCCCCGTTGTATGGACTAGGCATACTGGAAAAGGACAGGGACTTTTGCTGCTGTCTGAAATAGCCAGACAGCCTCGTAGCAAAATCGTAATAATAATTTCAACTTTTAAAAATCTGTTTCTCTTGCTTTCTTTCCCCTGATTTAAGTTTTGTTGCTTAACGCATAAGTGTTGCAGATGTGCAGAAAGGGGATGTGTGTCAGAGAGAAAACAATACGAACTTTGGACACTCTTGCCGAAACACTTCCAGAAGTGTGGTTTATAAATTCTCTTTAAATCTATAAGATTTAACATTTATTACATTAGGAATTCTGTTTGGTTCATGCTGTGGTCACAGAAAGGGGAAATGTGCCATGGAAATGTGCTATTGATCATTATTATTATTTTTACTATTATTATTATTATTATTACTCA